TCGACGTCCGGGTTGAAGACCGTCCGGTGCGTGCCGGTGGTGCCGGCCGTCGGTCCACCCGTGCCGTTGGTACCAATGGTCTTGGTGCCATTCGTACCAAGCGTGCGACCGTCGTTGATGGTGTCGTTGCCGTCGAAGCGATAGTAGCCAGGTGTGGGCGGGGACTGCTTGGCCTTGCGGCGCTTGATCAAGAGAAAGGCGACGATGGCGCCGACGAGGACGAGAACGCCGACGACGACACCGATGATGAGGCCCGTGTCTACGATTTGAGAGCGTAAGATCCGTCGTGTCATACGCTTGGTCTTACTGGAGGACGTTGGCTCGGGAGGACTTGTTGTGGGAGGACCTGGCAGCACGCAGACGTTGACCAGGTACTTGCTCGTGGACTTCCAGAGGCGCTGGATGGTGCCCTTAGTGGCCGAGCAGGCGGCGGCATCTGTCGAAATGTCTTTGTTGACTGCAAAGCCACGGTAGACGTCGTCCTTGTCCGCGTCGCCGGCGTTGGGAAGCGCGTCGAGCGCCGCGAACGTACTCGTGTCGATCGTGACGCTGGTCAGTAAGGGGCAGTCTCGCATGTCGCTACAGAAGACAATTTTGTCCACAAATTTTCTCCTCTCCATAATCGACGTACAAATATTCGAGCTTGGTCGAGAGCTGGACACGCGCGATTGATTGCAGTTTCGGGTTGTCCGAGATACGCCTAGTGGTACAAGCATTACTCTCCATAACCATCAAGTTGGTACCCACAGAAAGGTTAGGGCGCGCCAGTCGCGGTCAGTGATCGACAGCAGCAAATTTCCGGCGAGGTTTCTAAAACGTCATGAGCCGATGCTACAATCTAGCTTGTTTTGGTACAAAAGCGTGAGGTTGGCAGGGAGGTTTGTGAGGTCTACGAGGCTGTTGCCTTGCATCGCCCTAGTCCCTCAATAAGATCTCGGATACCAGCTGCGTGACGTACAGCTCCTTGACCGTCGACGGCAAGCCTTGCGGAATGTAGTCGAGGTCGGTATTTGCAAACATCCTATGAAAACAAGCACATGATGAAATGATGAGAAGCACGGTGGTACTACGTACGATGATGCCAGCGACTGTGGCCACTTGACGCTGTTGGTGAGGACAACCGTCGACAGGTCGAACGTACTAGCGGTGCGTGCGTTGAGATACCGGCTACATTGAGGCTTACGTACAGGTCCGTGAGCGCGCTCCACTGTGTTGCTTGAATGGCGCCGAGGTCGACATTTGAAATGTTTGAGAGTGTCCTGCCCCATTGGTCCGTATTAGTATTGTGTGAAAAGGAGGAATAGGGTCCATACAATTTTGTGAGCGTCGGTGGCAGTTTCATCTTGGCGAGCGTGAGAGTCGACGAGTTTGCGATCGTGCTAGAAGGTGTGTTAGAATGCAGATAGAAGAGTGTCGTCATACAGTTTGGGTTGAGTGTAGCCGCTGAGGTCGCCAATCGCGTCAAACCGCACGTAGCTGCTCCAGTCGGACGAGAACGAGTCGAAGACCTTGCAGTTGGGTCGGATGCCGCAGATTGGCAAGCTGGTGCACGAGGCATCGGCGACCAAAATGGACGC